ATGCTCTACGTCGTCGGGAGTGCTGACGAGAATGAAGTCTTGCTTTATAATGTCGTACTGTCGTTGAGGGATGCTTTGGGTATCTTGTTCAAGTATGTTATAACTCTCCCCTGTTTCGTGGTCTCGGTGTTTTTGGAGATACGGCACTGGGTATGTTAGTAAGTTGGTAGAAACTAACGGTTACTTTTCTTTCGGGATAGGGGTGCCACTGACAAGCGCACGATTGTCGAGAACTACGATCTCGTTGCTTTGGCTATCGATGAGATCATTGATGATGGTATTATTCTCGAGACGGACCCTGTTCTTATCTCCTCGCGTGTGAGCCGTGCCCCTCAGGCCGATGCGCCGAATCTGAAGAGCATCGATCTGTCCGAACAAGGTCTGCTCAATGCCTGGGAGCTTGGAAAGCGGCGCTTGGCCGAAGGTTTGCGACAGATGTAGAAGGGCTTACATACCACTTGGGCGTGTTTAAATTGGGTTGGTTTCTTGCATGGTTATGCATTTGATGTCTTATTTTTATCTTTCTTCGTTTAATACTATGTGGCTGGTCCCGGCGTGGTACTGTGCGTGTTGCTTATTTATTTTACGATGTTGATTGATTTATTTGATTGCCTCGTTCTTTTACTTCGGGGGAGACCTGAAGATTCTATAGAGATACCTCCTTCATGATCTGACGCGGATTTACACTTGTCATTTGTTGGCAGGGGAGGACAATCCCTTGTCTCACGCAGTCTCGAGATATCGCAGAAGAAACAAAGCAACAAAAGATCAGACAAACAGCATTCTAGCCAGTGTAGAAAATACCGATTACATCCATGATATTCTCCACAATTTTGTGGGCAGGGCTTATGCGGTTAAAAGCACTATCGAATGGCATGGAAAAGCGATCGATAAATAGTGAAAAACTGCCCCGCATACGTCACGCTCTTTGCCTACACTGGTCCCATTTTGGTCTTTGCAAACTTCTTGCCCATCAGCCACTTTTCGCAGTCCTGGCTCATTTTCCTGGAGTCCCAAGCTAAAATTAGCAGAAAAAGATGAAGCAGCGATTCTCGTCGTTGGACGTTAAGGTATGCCTTGGCGGATGCTCGTGACTTTGAACGGAACTCAGTTGGACTCATACACGAACCTCTCAGGTCATCTCCCAGGAACTCGCCTCGGAGATCGTCAATTTACGAGTGTCGAACATATATGATCTCTCATCGGTAGGTCCTTGAATTTTCCACTAAATGTATATATTCAACTAACGTGGGTCGCTGTCCCAAGAGGATCTTTTTGTTCAAACTTGCAAAACCAGATCATCGCAAGCAGCTCATCGTCGACTCAGGCTTCCGATGCCATGTCACCCAATATTCGCGGGCGACGGCTTCCATGCCATCGCCCTTTGTGACCCGCATGCGCAAATTCCTTAGATCGCGACGTATCACTTCGGTTAAGCAGATCGGCACTGATCGCGTTATTGACATCTCATTCAGCGATGGCATGTATCACATGTTCTTGGAATTCTTTGCGGGGGGAAACATCATTATCACCGACCGCGAACATAATATTTTGGCTCTATACCGCCAGGTCTCTGCTAGCGAGGGAGAGGAGGCGAGAGTTGGGATTCAATACACAGTGACGAACAAACAGAACTACCACGGGATCCCGGAAATTACGCTAGAGAGGATCAGGGCGACACTGGAGAAGGCGAAAGCGCTATTTGCGCATGAGGATGGAGCACCAAAAAAGTCAAAGAAGAAAAATGCGGATGTGTTAAGGAAGGCTCTCTCTCAAGGCTTCCCAGAATACCCTCCCCTTTTGCTGGACCATGCTTTTGTGACAAAGGAGGTTGATCCAACAACATCATTGGATAAGGTACTACAGGACGAAAACCTGCTTCAGGAGGTTAACGGCGTTTTGCAAGAGGCCCAGAAGGAGAATACGAGACTTTCAACGCAAGAGAGTCACCCTGGTTACATCGTTGCGAAAGAAGATAATCGCAGTGTTTCTCAGTCGACTAGTGAGAATGAGAAGCCTTCGGAGACAGCCAACCTTCTCTACGAGGATTTCCACCCATTCAAGCCCCGGCAGTTTGAAGGGAAACCGGGCATTAGCATCCTGGAATTTCCCTCGTTGAATGCCACGGTTGACGAATATTTCTCTTCGATCGAGACCCAGAAGCTGGAATCACGGCTTACAGAGCGCGAGGAGGCAGCGAAGAGAAAGCTTGATGCAGTGAGACAAGAGCATGAGAAAAAAATCGGTGCTCTCAAAGAACAACAAGAGCTACATATTCGCAAAGCAAATGCGGTCGAGGATAATGTCTATCGAGTCCAAGAGGCCATGGATGCGGTCAATGGCTTGATCGCTCAGGGCATGGACTGGGTAGAAATCGCGCGTCTTATCGAAATGGAGCAAAGCCGAGGAAACCCTGTGGCAAGAATTATCAAACTACCCTTGAAACTCCATGAAAACACGATCACATTGCTTCTTGGGGAAGCTGGCGACGAACAAGATGAAGGAGACGAGCTATTTTCGAGCGACGAGTCTGAGGAATCCGAGGACGAGCAGGATAATGGCGAAAGCCAACAACCTCCGTCGGTACTGACTATTGACATCGATCTGGGTATTTCTCCATGGGCGAATGCAAAGCAGTACTACGAGCAGAAGAAACAGGCTGCAGTCAAGGAACAAAGAACAGCCCAGTCATCTACCAAAGCACTCAAAAGCCACGAAAAGAAAGTAACGGAAGACCTCAAACGGGGCATGAAGAAAGAGAAACAAACTCTCCGGCAAACCCGACAACCCTTCTGGTTTGAGAAGTTCCTTTTCTTCATCTCCTCGGAAGGTTACCTTGTCCTGGGGTAGGTTTTGTCATTACCCCGTTCGTGTGGATATGTGCTAACTATTGCAGTGGTCGAGACGCCATGCAGAGCGAGATGCTCTACCGCCGCCATCTTAAGAAAGGGGATATCTTCGTGCATGCAGATTTGGAAGGCGCTAGACCTATGATTGTCAAGAATAGATCGAAAAATACTAACGCGCCTATACCACCAAGCACTCTTTCACAGGCTGGCAATCTATGCGTTGCCACATCGAGTGCATGGGATTCCAAAGCTGTCATGTCTGCATGGTGGGTCCAGGCTAGTCAGATAACAAAAACTGCTGAAGTGGGAGGGCTTCTTCCCCTGGGAGATTTTTCTGTCAAGGGAGAGAAGAATTTCCTTGCCCCGTCGCAACTCGTTCTAGGTTTCGGAGTGACGTTCCAAATTAGCAAAGACAGTCTGAAAAACCACAAAACTCACTTTGCTGACGAGCCTGAGGCGGCCGAGTCAACCGCAGAGGGTGGTCACGAGCAAGCTGGGGAAAGCACACAGCCCCCTGAGCAACAACAGGAGACAGAAGAAGCTCCTAAACCTTCTGAAGACCCTAAAGAACAAGCCGAAGAGCAAAGCTCGGACTCGGATAACGAACAAGATAATGCCGATTCACTTCCCGCTCGAAACCCATTGCAGCGTGGACCATCGGAGTCTCCTCATACTGAGGCCGTACAGGAGGGAGAAAAGGATACAGGATCGGATGGTGAAGATGTTGCCCATAAGCCAGAAGAGCTGGCGGATGCGTTGGATGAGGAAGATGTAAAGGCATCTTTAGCAGATGTACCAGCAGAAGATGAAAGCACTCCGGTAGGGGATGAAAGCCAACACCACCTCTCCGCAACGGCCAGACAATCGCCTCGGAAGGGGAAGTCTCCTGATTCGTCCGAGGCTGGCCAACAAGCCCCGGGCAAGAACTCAACTACCAAAGCAGTGAACGCCAAACAGGCACCGGCACCTACCCGAGGCAAGAAAGGAAAAGCCAAGAAAGCGGCGGCCAAGTACGCTGATCAAGATGATGAAGATCGTGAACTTGCTCTCCGTTTGCTTGGGGCTAACAAAGGCAAAGCTAGTAAGGCTGCTGCGGCCGCTGAAGCTAAGGCAAATCTCGAGAAAGAAGCCGAGGCACAGAGGAAGCGTCGTCAGGCGCAGCATGAGCGTGCTGCAGAAGCCGAACGCAGACGACAGGCTTTACTTGAGGAAGGTGGTGATGATTACGACGAAGAGACGGCTGCCGCGGAGGCAGCAGACCTTGAGTGGATCCCAGCATTGATCGGCATGCCTCGCCCTGAGGACGAGATCCTTGCAGCCATTCCCGTCTGTGCTCCCTGGTCAGCATTGAGTCGATACAGATACAAGGTCAAACTGCAGCCAGGTGCGGTGAAGAAGGGTAAGGCTGTCAAGGAGATACTCGGGCGATGGGTGGCTGAGACCACCACCGGCAAGGTTAAGAAGGAGTATGCTGAAGAAGCTGGCATCAGTCTTGCCGATGCAGAGAAACTCCGGGCTCGGGAAGGTGATGTGATCAAGGCATGGAAAGAGACCGAGATCATCAACAGCGTTCCTGTTGGGAAGGTGCGAATTATGCTTGGAGCCGCCGGCGGTGGTGGAGGCGACGGTAAAGGTAAAGGAAAAGGTGGTGGCAGTGGTAACAAAGGCGGAAAGGGTGGAAAGAAGAAATAGACTACGATCTTGTACATAGCCTTTGGCATGTTGTATTATTAGTCTTCCATATCTACTAGTATGATACCTTGGGATGGTCAACAATGTCCACCATCCTGAATCAACGTTCGGGTCACACATGAAAATCCGTCAACGAAGCCTTTTTACCCTGAACCTGCTCGAGATACTCTGATTCTGTATAGATCTCCATCTTCATTTCGAGAGCCAGTACTTATACTGTATCAGAGTTAAGTTGTATGTACTACTATGTATTGCATAACTACACAGTCAAACCGCTTAGTCATATATGCAAATCGACGTCATCGATAAAGACCAAATTTTCGGCTGGTTCAAAGACCGCAATTGGCGACAATCAGTCTTTTCGCAAAATCTCTATCTAGTTTGGTAAGTCTCTCAAGGAGGGGCGTCTGGCCTGGACGGACTCCACTTGGAATTTACCTAACAAATAAGACTTTGTAGGGCCGAAAACGCTCTCACCCCACCACCCAATCTATTCGCGTGTTGAGTCACCCCGCGACGCTCGTCCGTACTTCTGAAGCTTTGCCGACTATATCAGCGAAGCTGGTTTTCTTCGTCTCTCGCCTTGTCGCTGGCGGCTGTCCGCGCAGCTTTACGAGGTTTTTGAGCACTACCACCACCATGTCTTCCAAAGAGAAAACTCGGATCTTGTCGGTCCGTCGATTGAATAAAGAAGGCCCCGGGAATAAATCCCTTTCAGAGTGGTGGGATAGTGAGCGCAGCAATAAAACGCCAGAAGCTGCCGCGATTGAGGAGGCTGCTCAACTCCTTCGGACGAGCAATATTCCTGTTGCGTTTCCTACAGAGACAGTGTACGGACTTGGGGCCGATGCGACACGAAGCGATGCGGTGCAAGGGATCTACAAGGCCAAGCAAAGACCGTCAGACAATCCGTTAATTGTGCATATCGACTCCCTCGAAATGTTGGAACGGCTACTCAACCCGCAGGAATCGGGTTCTACCAGCGCATCCGATCGCCCAAGAAACTCAATTCCTTCCGTCTATCAATCTTTGATTGCCCGTTTCTGGCCAGGTCCTCTTACAATTCTTCTTCCGAACCCATCTGGGTCACTTCTGGCGAAGGAAGTTACTTCTAAACTGACGACGTTTGGGGCGCGCATGCCTTCTTCGCCGCTTGCACGGCTGTTGATCCATGTTGCGGACCGGCCGCTGGCGGCACCCTCGGCAAACGCATCGACCAAACCATCCCCAACAGCGGCGGAGCATGTGTATCATGATCTTCAGGGCCGTATCGAGCTAATCATTGATGGTGGCTCATGCGGTGTGGGCGTTGAGAGCACCGTGGTTGATGGTCTGTGTGACCCTCCAGCCATTCTGCGACCAGGCGGTATTGGCATCAAAGAGATCCGGGCATGTGCGGGATGGGAAAATGTACAACTTGGATACCATGATGGTACTCTTGACGTTAAGGAGATCCCTCGGGCACCGGGTATGAAATACAGACACTATTCTCCCAAGGCACGTGTGGTACTTTTCGAGGCTGGCTCCAAGGAGCAGTCTGTCACCAGGCATATCCGCAAGGACCTGGAAGATACGGCGATTGGTGCACATATGATTGGTATTGTACGAACGAAGCACTGGAAGCGGGGTCTCGGATTATTATCTGATGAAGAGATCGAGAAAACTCTCAAGCCCCTTCCGTCATTGGTCGACGGCCTTGCGGGATTCTCTGTTCCCATCAAGGGCAACTCTGGTCGTAGTCCCGCATTTAAGGAGGCTTTTGATTGTCATCTCGGGCCCGACGTCGAGTCCATTGCGCGCGGGCTATTTGCAGCGCTGCGGGCCATGGATGAAATGGAGGTGGATGTCATCTATGTAGAGGGGATCTCGGATCAGCAAGGCGATCGCGCAGCTGCTGTCATGAACCGTCTCCGTAAAGCTGCGGGGGCAGAATTGCGAGTCTGAATGTATAGACTTCATGCCAAAAGGGTAGACGATGCTCTGGTTACATATTTTTCCCTTCTTCCTGGTACCTGGTTATAGATAGAGCTTACTATTGCGTTTATAATTCAACTACGAATTGAGATGATCCTCACAAAAATGACAACAGTTTATTCCTGACAAAGCTCCACTTACGGATATAAACTCTCCATAATCATGTTAATTGTCTCCGTTCTCCGGCGCTCAGAAATCGGAGGTCTCCGACGCCTCATGACCGTCCACGATTATAGGACAGAGTACTAGGGTTTGAGTTGGCTTATCAGATTGCGCCTTATCTGGACTGAAGATTTGGTGGGAGTCATGTGGGTCTCCGTTGATTTAGAAGATATTGAATGTAAATTTCACAGTTTTGAAATCATTTGTACCTACTATGTATTTAAAATTTCAGGCTGTTTTTGTAAGCCAATATTATCACAGCATGACCCGACATTGATTGCTGATTAGTTCATTGAGCCCACTTGACTTTATGTATTACTTGAAATTTGAAACAAGCAGAAGACAGAAATTAAGATTTTTACTTTGTATGCATGATCCATACAATGAATGAATGTACGTAGTTTGACTCAAACTTCAGATCGGCACATCGAAGGTCACCAGCCTCAACATCGGTTCTCTTTGTACACTCCCTTTTATAAGACACTCGTTCTGTACATAAGCACTTTATAAGATTTGATACCCTTCTGGATCACTACCGTTATACTATCTTCTGGATTAAACCTAGTCCAGTCTCAGGACAAGAACAATGTGCAAATCCGATCTCCACGACTTCCTGCATGGTCTTCCCAAATGCGAGCACCACGTCCATTTAGAAGGCTGTCTAGCCCCGGACCTAATCTTCGAACTAGCCAAGAGAAACAACGTCTCACTCCCTGACGAACCAGCCTACGAGTCCATAGAGACTCTCAGCCACCGCTACGGCCATTTCACATCTCTCGACGACTTCCTCCGCTTCTACTTCATCGGCATGTCAGTGCTGCACCATGAGTCCGACTTCGCAGACCTCGCCTGGGCCTACTTCCAAAAAGCCCACGCCGACGGCGTCCACCACGCAGAAGTCTTCTTCGACCCGCAAGTCCACCGAGACCGGGGAATCCCCTACGAGACCATCGTCTCAGGCTTCGTGGCCGGCTGCCAGCGCGCCGAGATGGAATTAGGTCTAACGACCCGTCTCATCCTGTGCTTCGTGCGCCATCTCCCCGTCGACAACGCCGCACGGGTGTACCAGGAAGCCCTGGATCAGCAACACTTCGACAACGAGGTCGTCCATGGACTAGGTTGGTCGTCGACGGAAGTCGGGCCCCCCAAGGACATGTTCCGGGAGCTGTACTCGTCGGCTTCGGCGAAGGGCATCAGACTGACGGCTCATGCCGGCGAGGAGGGCGATCCATCGTATATTAGTGCTGCGCTGGAACTGGGCGCCCAGCGTATCGACCATGGTATTCGGCTTGTGGAGGATCCTGTGCTTATGGAGAAGGTGGTGAGGGATCAGGTTATGTTGACTGTTTGTCCGATTTCGAATCTGCAGTTGCGTTGTGTCGAGTCTATTGCGCATGTTCCTATTCGCAAGTTCTTGGATGCGGGTGTTATGTTCTCTATTAATAGTGATGATCCGGCGTACTTTGGGGGTTATATTCTGGATAATTATTGTGCTGTGCAGGAGGCGTTTCAGCTGACGGTGGATGAGTGGAGGGTTATTGCTGAAAATAGTATTAGGGGGAGTTGGATTGGCGAGGAGAGGAAGACCGAGTTATTGAAGCGTATTGATGATCATGTGCAGAGACATGTTGCTGCTATTTGAGTGGGGAGACTTTCCCTCCAGGTGTACGATAATTTACTCGAGCAAGGAAGATCTCCATTCCAAATATACATATACCGTCGTCCTGAACAAGCAGCAGTAGAACCTCGACAAGAAACGAAAGGCGGATTCGGGCCTGGAACGTGTTCTTCACACTTATCCTCAGTGGAGGTTTTGTGGGGTTGGTTTCAATGATGGCAAGAGAAGACGCCTGCTGCTGTGCAAAAAACCAGAAACAAACTGGACCTTAACTTCCCACCGTTGTGCTAAGGTCTAGTATTAGGGTTGGTCAATTTTGAGATTGCATGCATCTGGTTTGTGCAGCATGTCGCAGGGATTGAGTTGAGCACGGTACTCTTTTCTCTAGATTCATCTTTAGTATACTGTGAGGTATTTGAACATTGTAAATTGTTGGTAACCGTTGTACTTTATTCTCCTTTCTGCCATTATGTAGCAGTATGTGTGAATGCAGAATAAAGATTAGTTAGATGATTATGTCGCAAGCTTTTCGCTAAACTTAGGGTATTGGGTATTTTGGGGGAGGGGGGGGGGGGATCAGAGGACTTTCAAGTTCACGTTACTACAGTAAGGATATCCTATAGGGCTTCTAGTAGAGCTTAGATTTTACATACTACTAGGCTACTCTACATTCACCTCATGCCCAAAGAACAGCCCAATTTATATATATTTCTGTGTAGGGTTCCGTTCAGGTTCGAATAAATGTATCCTAATTGCAAACATAACCAATGTGACTGATTAATGTAAAGTAAAATATACGATTTTGAATGAAATATAAGATTAAAGACCCGATAGGGGAATCCATAGACTCCTCAACTTTGTAGAATATTGCATTTCCTCACAGCTCTGATGATGTTCTACGCAAAGATTACTAACATAAATACCACACCACTTGCCAAGAAGAAGGACGAATAAAGACAGGAATAACCAACAAAGTAGGGTACATTTTAATTCATTGGTAAAATTGTCTAGATCATAGGCAAATGCGCCCAACCATCCCCTCCACACTCACCCTGATAGGTTGCAGAGCCATCTTGCGACCCCTACACAATTCCATCCGTTGCGGGTTCCGTCAGCCACCGGCTCCTACGATTCTCCATCCCCCCCCACGCTCTACAACCGCCGCAAAAACCAACAACTACGTTTATCAAGGAAGAACCATGTCCTCAGACTCCGCCTCAGCCTCAGGCCGCTACAAACTCGTTTTCTTCGTCCCGCATTCCCACCTCGAAGCCTGTAAAGAGGCCATCTTCGCGACCGGAGCAGGGACCTTCCCGGGCGGTAAATACACCAAGTGCTGCTTCCAGATGCCGGGTCAAGGTCAATTCCTACCGTCTGATGAAGCTAATCCCGCGATCGGAGCTGCAGGAGCGTTGGAAACGGTGGAGGAGATGAAGGTCGAAGTGATGTGCTTCGGTCGGAGCATCATGTTGCAGGCGGTGGATGCGCTGATCAAGGCGCATCCGTATGAGGAGGTCGCATATGAGGTCTATAAGCTCGAGGATGTGTGAAAGAATCGCCGTCATTATAGGATTAGTGCCTAGGGGAGAGGGAAGTTGATGGTTATTAATGATGACGATGTTATATGCATGACGGGCGTTTATAGTTGTGATTGATTGAGACCTCAACGGAGACAGGTTGAGTTAGCAGCCTATTGGTATCAATGGATTTCTTGGTGGTAATTCAGATTAATATTGAAAACATTTCCATGTAGTAGTAGTAGGAGTAGTTGAATTTGATATCGAGAGAACGACCCTCTCAATTGGGGGTTAGTAATGAATGATTGGCACACAAGGCGGGAGTAATCTGTCGTCGCTGATTGGCCAACCGCAGCTCCCGCAAAACGCCTCTTCGACTCCAAATCGATCGTCCACCTTCAATAATCCATCCATCAGTGTCGCTCCCCTCCTCCCCCGTCCACTCATATCCCCTCTCTCCTGCCAGCAATGGCTTCCAAATTCTTCCCCGCCGTCCCTCGGGTCGGTCGTCAGTTCTTCCAGCGCGCCCCCAAGACTCAATGCAGACCGTTCTCGGCTGGTCCGCAACGTTGCAGCGACTCCCTCTCCGTGGTACGTTCACGTTATCTTTGCGATAGTACATTGAAAAATACTGGCTGTCACAACCTCCTCGGATACCTTACCTTTCCTCAATTGATGTTAAGATGAGGAGGCGGGGGGGGGATTCTAAGAACGTGTCTTTGCTGACCGATAGGTTCCCAGCACCGCAACAAGCCTACCAACAACCCGAGCATCCCGTTCACGTTCAACGAGCAGAACCAACGATTGATCGATGAGATCCTCAAGCGCTACCCCCCCCAGTACAAGAAGGCTGCCGTCATGCCTCTCCTGGATCTGGGCCAGCGTCAACATGGCTTCACAAGCATTAGCGTCATGAACGAGGTCGCCCGCCTCCTGGAGATGCCCCCCATGCGTGTCTACGAAGTCGCTACTTTCTATACCATGTACAACCGTGAGCCTGTTGGCAAATACTTTGTACAGCTTTGCACAACGGTATGGGAACCATTGTCGTTTACGGGTTTGGCTTAAGAAGTGTACATCTGCTGACGTGATTGGGACCAGACGCCATGTCAGCTCGGAGGCTGCGGTAGCACCAAGATCCTGGAAGCTATCGAGGAACACCTCGGCATCACCGCCGGACACACCACCGAGGATGGACTCTTCACCTTGCTCGAAGTCGAGTGCCTGGGCGCCTGTGTCAATGCCCCCATGGTTCAGATTAACGACGACTACTACGAGGACCTTACTCCCGAGTCCATCAAGACTCTCCTCACCGCACTCAAGGAGTCCGCGACCGCCACCGACGCCGGAAAGTCGGTTAAAGTTCCTGCGCCTGGCCCAATGAGTGGAAGAGACACCTGTGAGAACAGCGCCGGACTGACAAACCTGAAGAACCCTGTGTGGGATCCGGAGACGATGATGAGAAAGGACGGTGCCTTGGACCAGCCTCAGCAGCAATAAATATATGACAAACCATAATTTCATCTCAAGAAGCTCATTCTGACTCGATGCGTTGGAGTCGGGATTATCCTTTCGCGTTTCTAGTTTATTTTCCCTGGCCGGTAGACACGGGACAGGACCGCCAGATGTCGATTATGTACAGTATGCTTGTTTGATGTTTTTCGTCGAAAAAGTCAAACATTGATGGTAGAGATTACCATAGAAGTTCTATTTAGCAGTACCCAATGCAGTTCTCGTTTTTGGAATCCCTGATACCCCCCCCTCTCAAGGCATGCTTGCAATAACTAGCGTGGTACATCAATTCCCGAACAGATCCAGGGAACAGTACATGATACGTGTAATGGACGTAAAATCAAGCATCTGGATCCCCAACCCTAACAAGTCAAACAAGTACACGCTCCTCCCCAAGATCGTCAACCATGCCAGCAAACATACCACCCACCGGGACAACTGAGCAAAGAGCAACTAGACCCACGGGTGGATTCGGATAGGGTTAGAGTCCAGACCGGGTTCCATATGCCTCAGAACCCTGATTTCTGCAGGTTACAGAATACAGTATATGGGGTCCTACAGCAATTGCGCACACCAACCTATATTTGTCAATCGCCTGATGATCGTCCTGTACGGCGTAATATGAAGACTTATACCACGCTATGTTATACATACTATGCCCCACAAGTCCACCGAGATAGTGTAGAACATCCAGGGAGTATTGAGATTCCAAAGCCTGACCGGAGAGCTACACTAAGCAAACTGATCTATCAGAACGACATGTAATATGCTGATTGCAATGTGTCCAACGATTGTGGCGGCGAATTTGTTGGAATGTGTGGAAGGAGTAAGATTATACAGTTCTTAAAACAGCGGCAACCTTCGAAGCAATCAATGAATCATATCTATGCATAGCAATGGTCTGACGTGGTGTGGTTTAATGGGGATACATGTTTGGAAGTACAAACCTTGCTTTATAAAAGAGCAAACCGTGTCTCCTATTTTGTACACTTGGTATAAGAAACAGAAATTAAGCGCATTTCTTCCTAATCTAAACTTTTAATGCAAGCATTTCTTTCTCCAATGGCAACAGCAATCACCCTCAAAAGTCATCCCAGGCTATCCAGAAGAGCTAACGCTCTCCATAGCCGCAGAGATACCAGAAAGCGCTAAAAAAGACGCAAAACCGGTCCACGCATATTCTTGTCATTGGAGGCGGCGTTAGCGCTCTGATAACAGCTTGGATTCTCCTTGACAAGGGCTACCGCGCCACTATCGTGTCTAAGGAACGGGCAAGTCTTGCGAAGCCGTTGATTTCGCTGATTGCTGGGGCTTTGTGGGAATACCCTCCCGGTGGGTGTGGGATTACTGAGATTGAGACTCCGTTATTTGGACACTTGACTCTGGAGCAGTCTCGGGAGTGGGCTATGCAGAGTTCGAGCTCTATCAGTTGATGGCGGACCGAGATAAGCTTATTGGTAATGGTCTGGAACGGGCTGCTGGAGCTGGGAAGTTTGGGGCGAAGATGAAGACCTTGTTTCAGTTCTTTTCAATAATCATTTGAGGACGAGTTCCGTGTCCATGACCGTGATGACAGGCATTATGACAAGTAATTTGAGATGATGATACTGGATGAGAGCGTGGATTCGCCTTTCAGGGATCAGTTGAAAGTTAATTAGTGATGCCAATGGAGGAACGGATGTCAACTCAGGGGTGTTGGCAGTTTTAGTGTACCCGAAGAAGCAGTTTAATGTTGCTTGTACATATCAGCATGCAGCTCCCATGATTGATACTGATGTTGCTATGGCGTTTCTGACGAGACTCGTTCAAAGTAATGGGGCGGTTCTAGAGACTAGAGAAATCATTGGTGATCTCCGTCTTCATGAGCAAGAGCTATTGAGCGAATATCACGCCGATATCATCGTCAATACAAGCGGCATAGGAGCTCGTGAGCTTGTAATTGATACCTAGATATTCCCCTCCGCGGAGCAGTCAAGAAGATCAAGAGGTCGGAGGGATACCCAGCGGATCATGCGTTCCTTCTTCCGGCACAAATGAATCATGATGGCTCGGTGAGTAAGATGGTCTTCATTGTTCCTCGTAACGATGATACGCTCGTGATCGGCTCAATCACTCAACGAAACAACTGGCAGCTGAATCTCTCGCTTGACTCCCCTGAAGTCAAGGCGATAGGGGAACGGGCGACTGAGTTTCTGCCGGTCCTCAAGGATGCAGAGAATGAGACACGGTCTCTTGCACAGGGCTGGCGACCCTTCTCCCATTTGAATGTGATCTGCCAATGGATGATGGCGACTCGTTGAAATAATGAGGGATTCAATATAAACCTTTCTTATTTCCATTTTCCAATGATTCGCGTACAGCTGTTCAATCTAATGTTTATAATGTTTTTATATGCGCCCAACTTCCCTATATCCGTGCATGGGTGAACTGCTGCTGATAATATTGGGATGCTACTACTAGTCACCAGCAACCTCTTGAAGTCTCATGCACCAATCCACCAACTTACCAACTCAACCAGCCAACAACTGCTCTGCCCGCACCAATTGAATAGGTTTCTTTCAAAACGAAGTGCATATATTCATGCAAAGACACAATATAAAGAATCACGTGTATCCTAAGTGAGATTTGTCCCACGCATTAGAACGCGTTGTCCACCACAACAGACATCGCCTCTCCTTTCACCATCTCCCCCTCTTCAGCCTCCTCCCTGGCAGCAAGGGTGGCCTTTCCATCCCTCTCGACCAGCACTTCTCCATGGCGGTCTTGGAAGAGGGTAGTGTCGATGGTCATCCTTGCTAACAGATGATATATGTAGACGTGCTTGGTCTGTCCATATCGTCTGGCTCGTCCGATAGCTTGAGTCATTGACGAGTCATAGTCGTACTGGGTCTGAGCAAGCATAGGGGAGAGAAATATAACGTGGTTTGCGCATTGAAGGTTTCTAATCTCCGTTAGTACAGGCTGAGGCACAAGTTGACAGGCAACTCACAATCCAGCGGCCATCTCGCTACCCAAGTGCAGAATCAACACTTTGTTCTCACCAAAGCCACCAGCTTCCTGAAAGTGCTGGACCTTCTGTGCTGCCCTGCGGTCAGTTGCTATGATTGCAGTGTACTTGATTTTTGCCAGTTCCAAGGCTTTGGATGCGACGTCTATAAGGTCCGGGAACTGTATGAAGAGGAGAAGTCGATCGCCTGTGGCCACTGACTGGATGATTTCGATCATCTTATCCAGTTTACTGCCGCCGTATTTTGCACTTCTGTCTTTCTCATCACGTTTAAGAGTAGACGCATCCAAGATGTTGAATTCCTTTCCGGAGCCCCGGCAGCCTTCAACATTGCACTCTTCTTTCTGAACTGTCTTTAGAGTGCATTGTGAGCATAGGGCATGACCGCATGAGCCCAGTATGTTAATATGATTTGCTATTTTTGGTGTTGTATGACAAGAACTGCATTCAGCGATCTCAAATCCAGTCTGAACAAGGTGTATTGTCTTCAAAAACCTGAGCGCTCTTTCCCGTGCAACCCATTCAAGGATCAGCTTTCGAAGACCACTCGTAACTGCTCGCAGAATGAGCTTGAATTCACTGATTTGAATTGGCTTGACTGGAAGTTCTGGTGCTTTTTCTTTCTTTTCACCTTGTTTAACCGTCTTTGTACGCTTGGCACTACGCTTTGAGGCCTTCCAAGCAGCCTGTTCGCCATCAGTGTTAGCTCTAAGTTTCCATTCAAAGATGGTGAAGTACCACAAGGGCTTACCTCTTCACCAGCATCGTCATTGTCCTCTTTCAGCCCAGTATCTTCTCGCATTTCTGTATCAATTGAGTCCTCAGCGACTTGCGCTGGACAAGAAAAGAATAGTTTCCAGTCATCTGGCTGTGAAGTGAGTATTACACTCTTAACGAGTGGGTATAGCTTCCACGTCACATTCTTGTCACCGAAATCGTGCGCCTTTATACTCTCAATAAACTGGTGGAACTTTTCATGTCTTAAGTCACAAGCACAGTATACCCACGCAGCTTGCCTGAACTTCGTCATGAGTTCTTCCTTGAGGCCCTCGAGCTGTTTCAATCGAGTCTCAACCAGCGAACTGCAGGTGAGCGCTTCAGGTATACCGTTGTGCCAGCGACCCTGCAAAGCGAGAGATGAACACCGTTTGAGAAGGGCTTCTTCGCTTGTTTTGCTGCTTCCAATTACTTCATCCAGTCTATCTTCCTGGTCACCCCTGATACCCTTTCTGCCACCTCGGCGGCCCAAACGGTTGTATGTCATCAACTGCTTGCACAATTCAAGATATATCGCTGTCTCAGCAGGTGATTGCTGAATGAGAATTATGTGTTCTGATGACGGAATCTCACTAATATCTGCGACATTTTTGCGAGTGAACTCGTTCAAGAATCTTTGTGCAATACTGTGCCGTCGACGATGCCATTCCTCACTTCGAGGGGCCCGCAGCGCCTGGAAAGATTCTGCTTCTGACCGCTGCCTGCGGATCATCTTAAGCCGTGCGTTTTGTGACTGAAGGTCATCATCGTCGATACCGAGATGGATGCCCATGAAGGGTGCAATCGTATTTACATCAGCAAAGTCATTCAGCGGCGGTGTACCAGATAGAACCCATTTTGAACGAGCCTGAAGCTTGAGAAGGGGCACCAGTCGTTCGGGGTTTGCAAAGGTGAACTCATCAATAACAAGTCGATTGAATGAGAATGCATGGAGAAGAGGAAGCTTGACTGTCGTCCAATTTTGTTGAGCGGTATTATTTATGCCAAACTCCTTTCTGTCATCCCAGTCTTTGCCCGTCTTAACGGGTGCACGCTTGCGATTCACACCTTGGCCTCTTTTACCACAACCTTGTGCTTTCCCAGAGCGTGATGCCACCGGCGATTCCTCATTCTCGCTCTCTTTTGAATCACTTTCGTTATCGGTTTCCATTCTTAAGGTCGTTGGAGCGGTTGTCCTAGGTTGGAGTTTGAGGAGCTTGTCGACTCTGGCCCGAATTTCTTCGGGGTCCTCTTCTTCGCTAGAATCTGACAGCCCATCCTCACTTGATGAATCGGCATGTTGAGTCCCCGCTTCAGTGCCAAGATCCTGGCCTTGAAGAACGTCTGCAAACTGGCCTCCCTTAAGCCGCCTTGACGGGATATATGTGGAATTAGCTTCGTTGTCCTTGACTTCCTGGCGTCTGGTCTGAATTGACTCAAGCACTGCTCCGGGGCCTTGGTTCACTAGGAGCTGGATCTGCTCCATCATCACCGTATGCGCTTTAACAAACCAATCGTCGAAATTGCGGCCTGCCTTTGGCGGGACTCGCGGCATGCCGGTGAACTGCTGCAATTTCTCGTAATGATTCTGGCTGTTAAAAACAGCCCAAGAAGCCAAAACAATATCTGCCTGCTGTATATCTCGAACAGTTTTCCGTCCCAATGCCGCTAGTCCGTCGATCACCAACACACGGTACGTATCTTTCAGGAACTTTGTGATCTCAGACTGCCATTGTTTGATCATGATCTTGGGCACAACGATGAGAGTGGCATTTGTGGGTATGAAGCCGTCGATGGGCTCTGGCGCAGTCTGTTGACTGTATTGAGTATCGATCAGTCCGAGAGTGATAGCTGTTTTCCCATACCCTACGTCGTCCGCTAGGACACCGCCACGGACGGTTTTCTCCACGCATAATTTGCCCTCCGCGCGCCACATCAGCACAGGAAGAAAGGCCTCCTCTACCTCTTCTTCAACAAAAGGTTCGATGTCAACTCTTTCACGGTGGATCATCCACGAGAGGGAGCGCAGCTGCTCAGGCCGCAGATCGAGTTGGAAGTTAGGCGGTTGAGCGCTTTGAGAATCATTTCTGTTACTGACGAGACTGAAATCGGGGAGCACGAGATTTCTCGAATCATAAGAGTTGGGTATGATGCGCCAGAAAAAAGAAGCATTGTTAGAGACATTCGTGTTCAGTAGCTTGCCATAGGCTTGATGCAACAGAGTCTGAACGTTGAGCGTGACGCGCATATGTCCCATATCCTCCTCGTCCACTTGACGGAATATTAGAAAAGGTGGAGGTCTGAACTTGATCTGTCGTTCGTACAGAGCTGCATCATGTGGATCCTCATATGCCTTGACCTGTCCTCGAGTGTTGCGGCCCCATATGATCCGGGGCTTCACTGGTACACACACTCCACATATAGGACTACCTGACTTTTCCAACAATTTGCCTTCGTTGACTGAGATCCAATTCTGAAACGCAGAAAAGCCAACTGCCTTTTGAAGCAACCAAGAAATATCTCCAAGTAGAGCTGGGGATTCCACGGGATTAGCCACGTCCCATGGTCCCTTTCTCCAGAAAGAATCGATAGCTGTGGCCTGTGTTTCAAAAGAGAGAAGAGTGATATTCGCACTACGACAGTCCCGACTACTGATCACCATTGAAGCGAGAGGCTTCAGATTGGAGCAGATGATGGGGGAATCTGGAACATAGGAGGCCAACGTGACCGCTTGCAGCTTGATGGATTTACGATAGTACACGTTGGCATACTCCGGCTCCGAACCCAGACTTGAAGACCTCCACTTGTGAGAAACTTCTGCGATAGTCGAACGAGATGCATATCCAAGAGTCCGTTCGTGTTCCAAAGAAAAGACAAAAGAGTCGTGTATTGGCTCACCGAGCTTCGAGGGATCCAAAAAGAAGTATACTGCAGGGGAGTTCCCAGCGGCCGGTTTCTTATGCAAGCAGCCACTCGCTGTTCCGCAGTGAGGAAGAAGATCATATGTCCCTCGAACGTCTATTCCAAAACTTTCGATATCATCATCAGATCCATCGACCATGATTTGTGTCCAAACTTTGGATTCAGGGAAACCTTTAACTTGAATACCACATTTGGCTTCGAAAGATTCGACGCGGTGACCATTCCCCAAAAACGTGAGCGCACACTTTGAACTGATAGGGGAGAGGATCTCCCATTCGCCTTCCAGAAGGGAATCTGACTTGGCAGTCATGCGTGCAATTGGCCTCGAGAAGATTTCGCGAATGAGACAGACGACAGGTTCGTCCTCTGAGGGTTTTGCATGGAGCGACCAACACGACCAAGAATCACTGACAACAAGACTTATAACTCCATGCTTACCCTCATAAGTGACTGTCCACACTGAGCTCCTTTTGATGTCGACAAAACGGAACTCCTCACTCATCAGTAGAGCTACTGCGTCTAAGAATTTCTTCCAGACACTAGGGGGACAATCGATCGATATGTCCGCCTTGAAGACATCATAATGGTCTTGCGAGATGCCGGATATGACCAGTCGAGCGGGGAGAGAGCTTCGGAGTCGGCTCACAAAATCTAACGGCTGGGTACGTATTAGTCCGCAGGCACGTTGGTAATCATGAGTCGGGTTACCGGCACAGTCTGAGCAAGCGGTATGGTAGCAGAGCTTACATCGAAGGATATCACTCTTTATGGCATTTTGGCGTTCGCACATGCAGTATCTCGCACTACTCGCGGCTTGAGCTTGGATATCAGAGATGGTTACATCAGTCATTTCGTCGACATTGATTCTGCCTGAAACGAGTTCATGATCGTGACACAGCTTAAATCGCTTGTGCTTCGGGACTTCTTTCTTCGGAAGAGGTTGCTGGCCACCTTTATCAAGGACTTTGTGACCCACAATAAGGGCAGAGAGAATAGCAGCGCCCACGACCGTCGAACTCATCGCATTTCCAGCAAGTTGTTGAAGTTCCGCCTGAGTCTCGCGGGCAAGTATCAATCTATCCAACGGCAATCCCTGAAGAGAAAGGGACTCGAGTCCGCAGAGAGGCCCACCCCTGGTGGTCAAATACGGAATGCCGGAGGGAGTGATACAGCCTACTATGCCGTACGCACGCGTATCGACCTCTCGCTCGATACCCTGAGAAAGCTCGATGCACCGTCTGGAAAGAATTTTAGCAAATAATACTCCTTTTCTCCCCAGCAGTGGGAGGGAGGCGGGGGAGAAAGGAAGAGAAAGATCGAGGAGTTGGAATTTCGGGGAAGTGGGTGTGGAAGAGTGCTTACTCTTTGTGGTTCATGTCATACCCTTCCACGAGCTTGCGGAGGAAATTGGCGTCAAGCGTATCCCAGACTCGCTCAGGCATACTCCGGAGCCAAGGCTGCCAGGTGAAATCCGGCATCTGAGAAGATCCGTCCTCCTGCGAGCGGCTGAACGGGCGACGATATCCCAAGCCCATGTTCATGCGGTAGTTCTGGTGCCTGACTTGGTACCGCTCCCAATTGTAGACTGTATGCGACGCTAACCGCGTCGTCATATCGTTCTCTATCTGCTCCAATCTACGATCGTCAGGGTCCATCAGGAACATACCAGCAGGTGAACTTGCAGGGCGTTTGAACTTAGACAGAATCTTGATCCAGTCCGCCATGGCCGTTTCCTCCAGGCCGTGCTCTCGCATCCGCTGCCTGTCAACGCAGAGCATATACCCTCTCTCGCGGGTTTGTGGGAGGTAGTATGCTTTAGTGTCTACCTCTGCATGGCACGCGAAGTAGTCAATACCGCCCCATGCCTCGGCGATCTTTCCCCATGGGGCCGTCCGTACGTTTTCCAGTACGACAATTCTCGGCCTGCACCTCTTTGCGTAGCCGAGGATCCCCCAGAATGTCCCGCCGGATTCTCCGCTGTCATCGAGGGTCTTGCGCTTATTGTTCAGTGAAGAGAAGTCAACGCAAGAGAATCCGGCAATTAACATGTCTGGGTTTTTGGGAACCTTCTCCAGAGAGCCATAAGCGGTTTGACTTTTCGGCGACAGTTAGCGGAGGTCTTGTCAGGTACGGTGTCTCGAACGAAGGGGGTGAGGCTAATGCAACCGAGCTAAAACAACAAAAGAAGTTCGGAAGCAAAAGCAAATTCCTACAAAAAAAATGTATAAAAAGAAACACGACCAGAGGGAAGCGGGGCCCGACACAAAAAAAAAAAGAAAAAAAAGGAGAGAGTCGAGGGAACATACGCAACACGGTCCTTCAGTTGAGTCACATCACGAAACAGCAAACGTGGATGAAAGTTGTTATCGATATAGCGCTGCTTATAAGGTACAATTTCTGCACTGAAAAGATGACGAAACGTGAAGTCTTGATTGAAGTGCTTCCTCAGATCTATCAAACACACCTCAGTCAGAACAGCCTCACTACTATCAATGAAGTAAGACAAGGATGAGGGAAACCTCACTATCCTGCACCAACTCCAAGGCCAATATCGGACTCTCAGTCCCTGAGCAGGCAGTAACAATCCTCAAAGGCTTTGACCCAATATGTTGAAGAAACTCTCCAAGGTTAAGCTCCAGTGCTCGAGCAGTGATCGAATGATAGATATCGCCCAGTTTATGTAGAGGAGGGAGGTTCAGAGCCAGCTGTGTGCTAAGCCGTCTTTTACCAAAATGAGGCTCTGATCTGACGACCTCTGGCAGTTCAGGGTCTATGCTGGCAGTCTGGGATTCGAGGAGAGGAGTGGAGCTTGAACTGGCTGGTCCCGCGTCTGTAGGTTGGGTGCGTCTACGCTTGGTTGCACGCGCGGAGGGAGTAGAGGAAGCGAGTCTCTTGCCACGAGCCATTTTGAATGTATGTAGGAAGACGAAGCCTCTAAAAGAAAAGAAAAATAGGATCTTGCTGATCCAGAAGATATTCCTCTGTAAAGACGAGCTGTATCAGCCTGAATGTATGCAAATGTGTGCTGTATGCCTCGATACTGTCATGCGTATGAGGATAGTAAGTGTGTTTTGGAGATGTAGATTCGAGAAAAGAAAAGGGCGTGTGAGGATATGTGTAACTGGACTATAAGGAAAACAATAAGTTACAGGGGTGATCACATCGTTCACAGTGCAATTGAATCGTTGTTTACATGGCCAACTATTTGCGGTGTCGTGTTTCATGTCTTGTAGTGAATGGAATCACATATCCCAAAGGGGGTGACGTGTCCCGTCAATGCTGCTCTCATTGGGATGATATAACAGAGGAAAGATGTAAAGACTGTGAGCTACATGTTTCCCCTGATTTCTTTATGGAAGATCTATATCTACATAGTAACTATATGGCAACCAAAGCACATTCACACCCTCAACGAAAACAGCAATCAAACCCACAAAAAAAGAAATCTCTGGCGCAAAACCTTTCGTTCTTGTAGTAGAGAGTAGCGCTTAGTAGTGCCTAGTCAATATTACCCGGCGTGTCCTAGGTCTTAAATATTCACCGATTCATGACACTATATGATCTCTACTCTCTACAAGGAGCAAATTGACCAACTGGAAAGGGTCAAATCGCACAACAGAAGTAACGAGGTACTTATGGTGGGACTTATAGAATGATAGCCTTACTAATCCATTCGTGTACTTTCCAATCATCGATATTTACAATTTCGTAGACCCATTTGTATCAGTTGAGATTTTGAGGCAGTTTGAAGAAGTTGATGAACTCTATACACATGCTGGAAGGTTATGTCGGTTGTGTACCTTGTGAAACTTTGGTGAGGGCATAGGTGAGGTTTTAGTAAACTACTTTCGAGTATGTAGGAGTAGCTATTCAAGGTTGTAAGACATATTAACATGATGGCTTAGCTGTAGGGCTGATTGAAGAACTACATAAATCCGAGGTTTGTTGCGTGTTCACTTTCCGAAGATCACTAGAGTTAATAAAAGAGACAAGTTGCAAGTAATATGTCAAGGTTCATCTATGGAACAGCTATGAATCGTAATCTAGGCGAAGTGATAATAAGGAAAGGAGATTGATGCGTGACAACAGCAGAAGTCAGAAGTGAGTATAATAACCCTCTTGATGAAATTAACCGCCAGGACCATTCATGCAATTATGCAAAGTCTATACTTGCAGAACCTGGATCATTAATTCAAAGTCGGGACATCCTTAGACTCCTTATCTTTGTCAATGAGTCATCGGTACTAGAGCTCTTTGAAGCAAGAGATTCCATAAAAGGATCCATTAACCTGCCGTCGCGAATGGCCTCATAGATAATTGATATCCAAGATCCAATGGTCTTTTTCGAGCGGCCGTTTAGGGTATCGTTATTAACTGTCGGGTGCTCCACGAAGCCCAAGTGGAATGGGACTTGGAGATCACGGCGAACGGTGCGGTAAATAATCCTAGCACCAGCGCCCAGGAACTCTTCGGTGTTTTGCTGGTTAAAGAACGTGTCTGCGGTGTCCTGGTATGTCTTGTTGAGAAGGGCGGCGGCTTTGGTTTCCCATCGATTTAGATGCGAAAGGCCTGGGCCGCGCTTCTCTTTCAGAGTATCTAACAGTGTAGGAATAGCATTTTTAACGGCTACTTGCACGCGCTCAGGTATGCCCTGGCGAGTTGTTGTCGACCAGCTTTTTGAGATGGTTTCCCAGAGGGATTCGGTCAGATTTGCAAGCTCTGGGTCTGATAGATATGAGGAGAAAAGATCGGATGTAAGCAGATGGAGTTGGGGTTTGATGTTATCGAGATAGGTCAAATGCAGTACTCGGAGATCCAAGGCCTGGCATCCGATGTACAGGCTACAAGCGCACATGAGCGACACTATCTCGACTGCTTGCATAGTGTACCGACTGGATACAAAAGCCATGGAGTTGATAGATTGATTGCGCATTTCCGCTGCCTGTACATGCGAGCTCACTGGGTTAGCAAGGTAAGCCAACTCTGCCATGTATGAAGCCATGCTGATATCGACGCCTTTCATAGTGAAGGAGAGACTTGGGTCGTCAGCGACAAGATTGGTAGGAAGCCCGTTGTTAAGGCTTGGGTCGACCAGTTCAGTAGACTGAGAGAAGAGGAGCCTGCCAAACATCTGAAGGCATGACCTTGTCTTCTCCATGGCAGAAGTAATGGAAACTGCTTGGAAATTGCCTCCGTGGAGAATATCCCCGGTCTCGGGGTCTATTAGTGGGTTATCTGTTGTCGAGTTAAGTTCAACGGTGACTTGCTTATGCGCGAGCAGGAGGTCTTCTAGCTGAGGTCCGATCCACTGTGGAACACATCGAAGCGCATATCTATCCTGCATCAAACCTTGGCGAGTATGAGTCTTCACATCTTGAATACCTTGGGCAAGACGAGATCCCTGGAGAAAGGAAAGGATATTCCTGGCACATTCCATTTGGCCGTCATGAGGACGAATGGCAGAGATGAAGGGATGAAAACTCTCCGCATTACCCATGAGTGCTTCTAAGGCTATAGCCGAGATTGCCTGCACTAGCACGACCAGTTGATGAGTCTCGTACATAACGAGACTGGACAGTGCTGCAGAGAATGAAGTACCGTTGACTAGGCCTAATCCTTCCTTAGGACCTAGGACTTGAGGCTCTATGCCGGCCGACAAAAGCGCATCTTTAGAAGACATTATCTGAGATTTACGAGATTTCTGTACGTGGACATGCACATCAGGGTTGCCTTCAATCGCGCCAGCGATATAGGAAAGTGGAATGAGATCTCCAGAAGCAGAGATAGAGCCTCGTAAAGGAACAACCGGGGTGATGCGACTCTCCAAAAGCTGCAAGATGGACTTCATCACTGAAAGCGTAACTGCGGAGTGACCGCGGGCGTTTGAATTGCACCGAACCAACATGGCTGCTCGCACCCAGGGGACGGGCACAGCATGTGAATCCAGGCGACCTTGTCGCTCGAAGTCCACATTGGTATTCTTATCTGAGGCGACTAGCACACCTGCTTGTAGAAGCTGGGAGAGTCCGGATTGTAATGCGATGACTCGATCCGTTCGAGTATCAGCACTGCCGCCGAAGCCAGTATTAACACCTTCGAAGGACATCAGTACACCGAGTCATATAGCAATTTGACCCAAACAGGGTACGGACCATAAACGTGGTAGCCATTGTCCAAATGGTCTTTCAACACCTGCACGCTTGCTTCAATCTTATCAAGGACAGCTGGGTCTGTGGTGATCTTGGGTATGCAACCATAGCTGTTTAGAGTCAGTATCACCGAAGAAGTGATTGCCACGAAAGTTAGAGAATATGTTACTTACTATGCTACTGCTGCTATAGCAGAGATGTCAAGACTAGCTCCATTAACGTCGAATGTACCATCTCTCAGCAGATTCTGCAGGCGTTGTCGTGCCTGGTATGCGGTCTGTAGGTGGGTCTGCAAGTCACTCAGGTTTCCCATATTCAACAAGTCCATTTTTTCTTTAGAATACAGTTTCCTTTGTTTGCTGTGACAACTCTAACCTAAGGCCCAGGTGGGCTTTAAGTAGTTGTTTGTCACCGTATTTCACCGGGAGTGCAATCCGATGTAATGCAGCCTATAACCATGGAAGACAGTCTTAGAGCGTGCTAATGACACGGGTCGATCGTGAGCTAGGGTGAGACTATTTCCTTGTGGCATTAGATCGACATCTTCGGGTGCGGTTCCACTAGGATGTCCGATAGCTGAAACAATAGGCTATCTCTAGAGCCTGGTTGGTCCTTCCTTCTAGTCTTGGCTTGTTACTAGTAGGAATTTGCGCACTCTCTAGCTGCATAAGGGCTATGAGGTGTTTGATACGCTCACTTTGCTGCAGAGCTTAGCCAACTGCAACGGTCAATGGGAGGGTATGGAACCCCAAGGCCGAGGCCAAGCGATAGGGTTCAGGGGGAGGTCGATCTTTGTGCTAGGATCCCTGGCTGACCCAGACTTCAGTCATTAAGGAAATAGACTTCCAGGCAGGACCATAGTTAAACCCTGCAGAATTTGCCCGAAGTGTTCACAGTGAAAATGACGCACTGGGGAAAGTCGGTAAGTCGGTCAACAGTGCAGGAAACAGTCGAGAACGGAAACCGAAGGGTCTTCCATTTTTGGACGAAGTTGCATTGAAGAAACCGCCTTTTACTACTACCTTGTGAGACTCTTTAAGTCCTTCTGCACGCTTTTCTTTTCTAATTCTTCTTTTTCTTTTTCTTTTTCTTTTTCTTTTTATTTTTTATTTTTAGTCTAGATGGTACTCTGCAGTTACATTGGGTGTTTCATTTGTTCTCTTTTCATAGATTAATTTAAATGAAATTTTGCGTGGGTTAATTTACGTGGTGGCGTTAAGGGGAAGCAATAATGCAAGCCAACAAGAAAAGGAAGATATGGGATATCTACTACTACTATCAATAGCCTGTACTAAAGTTAAGTATACATTCCTTTGTCAAATCACCTGAACCATCTTGCGCCATCCCATTTGTCATTCGAACATAAAAAAAAAAAAAAAAAAAAAAAAAAAAAAAAAAAAAAAAAAAAAAAAAAAAAAAAAAAAAAAAAAAAAAAAAAAAAAAGAAAAAAAAGAAAAAAGACGAAAGAGGAAAAAGTAAAAAAAAATATGAAGTATTGAAGTTTCAAAAGTACCAAAATCACATAAAGTCTGTTGATCTCGATCGATCTCGCTATGTCATCACCGCATGGCACCTTGCATTAGTTGCTGTCGCAGAAGCATAATTTGGTTTCGTTCCATCGGAGGTAGTGCATCAATAGCCGATTGTGGCATACTGAGCACTTGTTGCAAGAGTTCGTCTTGCCCAGGCATTTGCTGCTGAGGCTGAGGTGGTGTGGAGACCGGACCTGGTACGGCTGAGAATGGCTGAAAAGGTTGCGCTGCGGGAGGAGCGGCTGCTGCCGCTTGGGGCTGAGCGGCCTGTTCCACCACTGTTCCTAACGTGCTGTAGTCGACAAGGTTCATCAGGAGCAGGGCCTGGAATATAGCGTATGCAAGCTGAGGGGCTTGTCGTAAAAGTTCCGTAGCGCGTGCCGGGTCGGCCATGACTAATGACTTCATCTGAGAGAGCACATCGAGAAGTTGATTCGGAGGGAGAGAGGAGAGTGTTTGAGAGATTGCGTTCGGGCAGTCTAGGTGCGGAGGAAGATCCACGCCCGGGGGAAGAGGCGGTAGAGGCGCGGATGACTGCTGTACACCCATTTGTCCATCCTGTCCGGGTATTTGGGACGTCTGCGAATAATCGGGGGGTATCGAATCCTTCTCGTTGTTGTGAGGCCAGTCCACACGGATCTTCCGTCCCATGACCTCATAGTCATTCAAGTTGCGAACTGCGGAGGCGGCTGCATCGGCATCGGCGAAGTCTGCAAACCCATATCCTTTCGGCTTTCCTGTCTCCGGGTTCATCATCAAGCGGAATTTGGTTACTGTGCCCGCGGAGCTAAGAATGTCTTTCACCTGCTCCTCTGTGAGATCTGAGATTGGGCGTTAGCGTCAATCAACTGTGGACGTGTGCCACGTAGAAGCACCTACTGTATGGGATGTTTCCCAAAAAGACACTCTTTCCGGCTCTTTCAGGAGGCGCCATCTTTGCCGGAGTTATAGGGAATCTGCAGGCTCTTTCAAATAATGGGGGAATGAGACGTGAAGACGCAGTGTGCGAATTGTTCGAGAGGAATTGGCAGGAGGCGGAGGTTCCCACACACTTTCGGCTCAAGTGCAACGAATATCTCTTATCACAAAAAGAATTTGTAGCCTACTCTTGAACCCCAGTGGACAATTCTCTGTAGATGGAGTAAGTTCACGGGCAGCCTTACTGGAAGCTTGAGCTTTACTTGAAGGCGGTGACCCAAACGGACGATTTGCCGGAACATCGAAAGAACCTCAACGCCAGCTCCGTCACATCGTCTCCTCTCGTATTATTCTACACTCTCAAACCACCATCATGGCTCGGAACCCAAGGGAACAGTGGGAGAGACTCCAAGTGATTCTACAGAACCGCGGAAGCCGTGGAGGGTTTGGCTTCGGCGGTTTCCCCTCCGGTGGGGGTCGTGGTGGCTTGGGGCTGTCGGGAGCTCTGCTCTTGCTCGGTGTTGGTGGATGGGCTCTATCAAACTCCCTCTTTAACGGTGAGCATGCCGGGATCTATTAACTTGTTCCGGTGATATGAAGAGAATAGCTGACTGAGGCGGTTTTCAGTCGACGGTGGTCACCGTGCAATCAAATACTCGAGAATAGGTGGTGTTCAGAAAGAGATCTACAGTGAAGGTATGCCGGCGCAAATCTCCTCTTTTTCCCTTCCTTCCATCCCTTCGATCCCATGCTAACTATTTATCTTCACATCAGGTACTCACATCAGGATTCCATGGGTCGAAACACCGGTTATCTATGACGTGCGCGCGAAGCCGCGGAACATCGCTTCCCTCACTGGTACCAAGGACCTGCAGATGGTGAACATCACCTGCCGTGTTCTGTCGAGGCCCCGAGTGGATGCTCTTCCGCAGATCTACCGTACCCTCGGACAGGACTTCGATGAGCGGGTCCTCCCTTCGATTGTCAACGAGGTCTTGAAGAGCGTAGTTGCGCAGTTCAACGCTAGCCAACTTATCACCCAGCGCGAGAATGTCGCCAGGATGGTTCGGGATAGCCTCGCTCGCCGAGCCGCTCGCTTCAACATTGCTCTGGACGATGTGTCGCTTACGGTATGGTTCCCAACTCGTGCATATATGTAGGATGTTCAAAACACTGACGTCGTACTCTTTGACAGCACTTAACCTTCTCCCCTGAATTCACTGCCGCTGTCGAAGCCAAGCAAGTCGCCCAGCAGGAAGCCCAGCGTGCTGCTTTCCTGGTCGACAAGGCCCGCCAAGAGAAGCAAGCCTTCATTGTCCGCGCCCAGGGTGAGGCTCGTTCCGCCGAACTCATTGGTGATGCCATCAAGAAGAGCAAGAGTTACATCGAGCTGCGTAAGATCGAGAATGCTCGTCAAATTGCCCAGATTCTCCAGGAGAACGGTGGCAAGAACAAACTCTACCTGGATTCCCAGGGTCTGGGTCTGAACGTCAACGCCAGCGTCGAAGACTCGAAATAAGAAATTCTCTCTGGAAAGGAATAATGACTAAGACGGCTCCCCGCAGATGAAGTTTCTGAGGAAGCCTAGCTTCGCTATTATATTCAATTGATTTCATCGGCCTTCATTCGTACTGGCGCTATTGATGTCGCTTTGGAATGGACGATCGGGGTGTGGGATAAGGTATCTGTACAAATAGTTTCGAGTGTTTTTTAGGATTCTCAAAGCAATCGGGCGAAATGTTTCTCTTCTCTTTCAATATGATCTGACTACGAAATGCAATAATCATCCTGACCTTGTTCCCTTGGTAGATGACCTGGCGTTGAGTCTCTATCTATGCTGCGCGGAATGCGATTTCATTGGCTCCGCGCGCGGAGTTGATGAACGCGGCGGGCGGAAATTTTATATCAACGGCGGGGAAGAAACATTTTACTCCTACACTCCAAAGTCGACTCCAACCCAGTCGCTCTAATACAAAGCAACCACTGATACCTCCCAATCATCTACATAAGTTTCCTATATTAATACGTCCCCCCTTCGACCGGCAAAAGGTAATCCCATCCTCAAACATTCTGCCACTGCCCCGCACCAATCCCACCATTCCCCCCCAAAACCCAATACAAGCACATATCTAAAGCACAATCTTACAGGCAATCCAGACCAAATCCACAGGGAAAACAAAGAAAGCCAAAGAAAAAAAAATGACCGACCCAACAACAGAAATCGACGTCGATATCGACGTCCAAGAAATCCTCCTCGCCGCCTCCCAACACGACATCCCCAAACTCCGCCAACTTATACGCTCAAACCAGACAATCGCAAACCCTGTCAACGTCAGAGACCCCGAAACTGGGTATGCGCCATTGCATGCGGCAATTGCGGCCTGTGAACCTGACGACGACGAGCCGAACGGCGTCCAGACCAACGGGGAGCAGAAAGATGAGCAGAAGAGCCTTGAGGAGAAGGGCTCGGCGACTGTGAGGTTTTTGCTCCAGGAGGGTGCGATTTGGAACGATCTTGATAATAATAATGAGACACCTGGGTGTGTTGCTAGGCGGTTGGGGTTGAGGGAGTTGTATGAACAGCTTGTTGATGCCGGTGTGCGGGCGGAGTTGCTTTTGAATCGGTTGGATGGGTATGAGGAGCTTGAGGATGATGATGAGGAAGAGGAGGAGGGACAGGAAGAGAAGGCTGAGGCTGAGGCTGGCGCTGAGGAGGTGGAGGTGGAGGGGGAATCTGCTCCCCAGTTGGTTGAGGCGGCTACCACTACTGAAACGGCTATGGAGACGGGTCCCGATGTCACCAATTCTCGGTATCTTGATTCCAATTTGACTTTCCAGAATGACCGCTTGCTAGACCAGGATCAGAACGGTGTTATGATGGCTTGGGAGACGGATATCATGGCCAAGTCGGCGATGAAGCTACTGCCTACGCCAGGACTGCGTGTTCTGAATGTCGGACATGGTATGGGTATTGTGGATGGGTTCATCCAGGAGCAGTCGCCTGCGGAGCACCATATCATTGAAGCGCACCCGGAGGTTGTCGCCGAGATGAAGCGGAAGGGCTGGGGTGAGAAGCCGGGTGTCACGATCCACGAGGGCCGGTGGCAGGATATTCTCCCTGACTTGGTCGGACAGGGAGTTATGTTTGATGCCATCTACTACGATACATTTGCCGAGTCGTACGGCGACTTCCGGGAGTTTTTCAGTGAGCAGGTTATTGGACTGCTTGAGCAAGAAGGGAAGTGGAGTTTCTTCAACGGCATGGGAGCTGACCGGCAAATCAGCTACGATGTCTACCAGAAAGTGGCTGAGATGGACCTGATGGATGCTGGGTTCGATGTTGAATGGGAAGAGATTGCGCTGCCTAAGCTGGATAGCGAATGGGATGGCGTGCGCAGAGCATACTGGCAGATTGAAAGCTACCGTCTGCCTCTATGCAAGTATATGGATTAGAATACGCTAGAAATGATTTATGTTAGACACGCCAAAATTGAAAATAATAGAAGAACACAGATATACTTAGTACATGCATAATGCTCTATACCATCGAAGTGCTACCTACAAAACAATAAACATGCCATTGAGAGACACCGCTCCTCACTATACTGATCGTCTTATAGATGCCAATCAGTGGATATTTGCTCCTGAATTGCACACTAACATTAACCGGTTTTCCCCAACTCCATCAAGGGGAATCACTCCATATACAAAATAGAATTCCATCTTACAAACCCAATATCATCCTCCCCTAAATAACACTCCTTAGAATAAAACAACGCTGCAAACCCTGCATCAAGACATGATTGGCCAGGCAAGGAACCAGCTTACAGAGTCCGTACCAACACCTCTAGGTCCACCTCAGCTGGTATTCTTCACCTCTCAAACCCATCTCATTCCCCTCCCCAAAGCCAGCGACTTCAAAAATTACATCTATAGCCCCTTAGAAGAAAACACAATGTCCATCTCCCCAATCCACTACATCCCCCCAAGCAGGGGCCCCCAAATCCTCTCTACAAAAATCCACCGCATAATCGCAAGCCCCCACGTCCAAGTGCCTGTCGAAACAACCAAGAGAACAAACCACTGGTGTCTCTACCTCTCCACGTCAGAGACTACATGCGTCACCCTGGATTGTCAGCCCAGTCATACTGTGCCTAGTAGTGTTTTGGTTGGCGGGTCGAAAGCGTATGTTATTTTGTCTGAGTTGAGTGCTCCTGCGGGACAGGATGCGTTGCTTGAATTTGCGGTTGGGATGGATGTTAGGGCTGGGGTGAAGGTAGGGGATGTGGTGGATGTTTTGGTGGAGGGTGGGAGGGAGAGATATGAGTTTGATGCTGATGGGGTGGGGTGTCGGTTTTGGGTGACTGAGGTGTTGGAGTTGTTGCTTAGGGTTGGGGTTCTTCTGGATGGGCAGCAGGTTGAAGGGGCGAAGGGGATGGTGAAGAGGTTGTGGCCTGAAGGGACGGGCCTGGAGTTGGATCGGGGGGTGTATTACTAGGGAAGGAGAGCTCTTTGGTAATGTTAGGTATTTTGAATTATCTATTGTTTTCGTTTCAGAGAGCTTCTCTCTCGATTAATTGGATATTGAACTGGACAAAAACACCAGACACCGTTCCTGCCCTGGTACCCTCGAATCCATGCAGCTGACTCAATATACGCTTTCCCAGATTACATACATACTGTTCCGTGGCATCATGATCCCATCATTTGATTACAGAAGTCGACCTCCAACACGCCGGATGCTCCGTCGTGCACCCTCACCTAGAACGTTCACGTAACCTTCCGTCTCCAACGTGCGAACCGCCTCTGTGAATTGACCGCCATCCACCTCGCCGCTGCTCTGCTCAGTTAAAGCACGATAGACGTCTCCCCAGCGAGGAGTGGCACCTCCGCTGCTGAGCTCGTCAATCACTGCGAGCAGACCACGCTTCAGGGCTTCCCGCTGACGTCTCTCGCTCGCACTAGTGCCCTCAGTGAGCAGACCCATATCAATCAAACCTGTCCGCGAGTCCGTAGCTGCCTGCTTAATAGCGGACCGGATCAAACGCACTGCCTCCTCAACATCTGCTGCGGTCACCTCTAGTGACAACCGCATGCGTGCGTGGGCTTCTGACAGTCGGATCATAGACTCTAGTTGACGAGTGGTCGCCGTAATTCTACGATCAGAGGAGCGGATGTCGTCTCCGAGCTTGCGCATGTTCACATATGCATCCGAAAGAGCTTTACCAGCAGCCGGGGTAAGAACGGGGTGAACCTTGGTCTTGGCGTAAGTAATATATGCCGTCAGGAATTCAATGGGCTGCAAATTTTACAATCTAATTAGCACACAATATCAGAGCCACCTAGATGGAAATTCGTTACTTACCAAGACTTCTTCGTCGCTTGCATTTTCTGGCTTGTCTTCCAAATACATGTTGACCAAATGTTTGGCCAACCGACGATCTTCTTGCTCATCCACACGATCTAAAACCAAGTATACCAAATCAAAACGGGACAACAAGGTGGGTGGAAGGTCAATGTTCTGAGGAACAGGCAGATTTGGGTTGTATCGGCTCCCAATAGGGTTTGCGGAGGCAAGGATACTGGTTCGAGCGTTCAGCGTGGTGATGATGCCTGCTTTAGCGATTGACACCGTCTGTTGCTCCATGACTTCATGGAGGACGGACCGTGTGGATTCGTTCATCTTGTCGAATTCATCAATACAGCAAATACCACCATCCGAAAGTACCAGGGCACCAGACTCGAGTACCATCTGACGCGTGTCGGGATCCCTGGTCACGTAGGCTGTAAGACCAACAGCGGAAGAACCTTTGCCACTGGTGTAGACACCTCGAGGCGCGATCTTGTGAACATAGCGAAGTAGCTGGGATTTTGAAGTTGACGGATCGCCGCAAAGAAGCACATTGATATCACCGCGGTAGCGTGGGTTACCACCCTTCTGGAAAGACTTGTTGGTGCCTCCAAACATCTGGAGTAGGATACCCTTCTTGACATCATCCATTTCGTAGACGCTAGGGGCGAGAGACCGAGAAAGGAGTTGATACACATCCGGCCGGGTGGCAGTTCGCCTAATCTTTTCCTCTTCTTCGGCTGTAACCTTTCGAACCTGCTCGGAATCTCCAGCAGCCTGCTCAGACAACTCTTGTTCGATGGTTGTGACGTCGATGCCCAGCTTCTTACGATCGATCTTTTGGACGTGCAGGACATCAATGTAAGTCTTGAAAAGTGCCTTCTGCGTCCGTTGGCGGGGATTCACGCGCACAGGGTTGCACCGGAAGATGCCTGTCACTTCAACTCGATCACCAGCCTTACAGACATCCACCAACTCATCGTATACGCAAAGGGAAACCGAGTGAGGAGTTTGACCATCGGGGACGCTATCCGGTGTTTCTTGCAATTTAATGACCTGCTTATCGGCGAAAATACAACGGTTGTGGATAATCTCCATGCTGTTTCTTTGTTTGCAGGCAGGGCGTGGACAAATAGTGGGTTCCGCGATCTTTCCACGATCGATATCGACTTGCACGCCGTGATTGCAAGCCTGGCAACGGAAGAAGGCTAGAGACAAAAGTTAGTCAGCGTTGACGTAAATTAAGATACTGCTAACTCACCTTCTTTCATATCCGGGATGATAGGCGTCGCGCGAATGACAAGACCTTTGATGCTCACTAACTTGTCCATATCTAAGGTGTATGTTAGCAACTGAATCGTTTAAATCGGGGATCGTGTATAATGAGCATACCGGCTGGATCTAGGTCTCTCATGTTCACACTAGAATCAAGCCCAAAAGGAAGAACTTTGAAAGCCTTTGTCTCGACTTCACCAACAAGATCTGGAATTTCGCTCGGTGGCATCCGGCCAGTCTCACTCATGGCATCCGAGCTCGGAACTGCGGGCGCAGAACTGAGATTCCTCGAGTGTGACTGGTTTCGTTGGTTCTGAGTCCGCAGGCGCTCCATCTCCTTGATTGCAAGTTCAACCATAACATCCTTGATGGTCTGATCCATCAAGGGAATAATCTCCTGAGGATATGCATGTAGTTGATGCCATAATTTCAAAGTCAACGGGTATGCTTTAAGGTTCTTCGCATCGAGATTCAAGCTAGTCACACCCAACTGGCGCATCGTGTTCAACATGTTGATGTATTCTCTCTCCTCTGCAGTATCTCCCAGCCTACGGGTTTCATCTTCTGTTGCACCCTCTGCCCACAGACGATATTTGGTTGCAAAGTTGTAGAGGAAGTTCTTGAACGCGGACATAGAATCTTGAATAGAGATGTTGGTACCCCAGATGACGCGAGTAGAGCTACCACCCAACGCATCCGCTTCTGAAGTACCGGGATGGATGTTCGAGAAGGTTGCATCTGACTGTGGCTCTCCATTGGCGGCAGGCATTCCATTGGCGTCGACAAAGACTCTGCGTCGTCGACTAGGCGTAGATCCAAAACCACCCGAATGAAGATCATTGCGACGGGACGCAACATTGCGATGACCACCTGTGGCCGAGCGATCGGAGACAAAAAGAGCACCACTGCTACTGCTGGGAATATCGGAGCGTCCTGGTTGGAGGCTACGAGCGCGAGTTGGGCTAGAACTAGACGTATATCGGATTGGGGAAGAGTCTGCTATACGTGAGTAATCAGCAAGTATTTAAGTGTCCTAATGATCGTCGTACCTCCGATAGCGGTACGGTTTCCCCGTGGTGTAGTCTCATCTTGGTCCATGACGGATGATGCCCTGATAGGAGAGCTGGGCTCATCCATTCTCACATCTGGTGTCTCGGCGCTGCTGCCATTATCTTTGGCCGGTGGTGACGAAGGAACCGCTGCCTCACCCCTTAGACGACGAGAAGCGCGGGGTGTTGTTTGTGCATCTGTTACCCTTGGACTGCTGGCCTCTGCCCTAGATGGGCGACCCCTACGACGAGTTGAAGCCGGAGAAGACATTGTGAGTCGGTCCTGTTAAGTAAATTATCGCAATTGGAAGGACCGACAGAATCAAAATATTGGGGTTGTTGGGGGGTAGGGGGTTTGAGAAGGGTTTGTTTGTACGGTGTAGGGATCGATCAAGTGGAGTTTCAATTTGCTAGATTCTTCGTGGATTGCAGGGCGCGTTCCAAACGCGTTGACGCGTTAAGTGGTCACGTGCAGCTGATTCGACCAGGGATCAACCAGACTATTCAACCATTTTATCGAAAACAACCATAGAATATGTTTCCGATGAGGTTTTATACACATCGTACTATGTCAATAAATGTCGCTCTCTATTTTCCCTTTCTCTTGATCGCTGACTGGTCCTTCTTCTATTTCCACAAGGTTATTGTTTGACGTTTTTACTCAGGCCGGCAGTAGGAACCTACATTGCCCATACAGTTGCGAACGAATATATTTACGTATAGTTTTCCTTGCCATGTTTACATCTCTGCTTCTTACCCCACCCCATGGCCCGCCATGGTTCATGAGCACTCAAATACACAGCGAATTATGCCTCGTTTGCTACAATGAACTCGCCGGGCCCCAATTGAAGATCGTGGCGCAACCAATTAGAAGTATCGGTCTCTGGAAGAGGATTACCGCGTGACGGCCTACAGCACTAGTAGAGGCGTGTGAAGCATATATTTACAGCGAAAGAGATCAAAGAAAAGCACATACCCTTGATGGCGACGGTTGGAAGGGAAACTCAAAAAGGACCCTCTAAAAAGACCCAGGAAGCTACCCGTAATGCGTTAGACACCAGACTCACTACAACTACAGAGTACAACTCAGCTGTAGTAAAATACTACGTAGAGCCTTTTCTGGTTAGAGCCATTTGCCACACCCACTCACGTGAATATTGAGGGTGCAAGTTCCTGTTGTGGTCCCTTTAAAGGTCCCTTTCGAGGAAGGTTACTTCTGATGCACCGCCACCTTCTTCTAGCCAATAATATGTAACCGCCCTGATCCCTTAGGGCTGGGACTATGCCAAAGACGGCATAGCTCCACTCTCCTAATACAGAAAGTATCGACATTCAAGATCGTCACGAAACGAGCAGCGAAAAGAGATAAAAGAACTGGCATCTTCCCTAAATAAATTGGCATGCTGCTTTAACACATCAGTTATGCATTGTCCTTACCGCTGCACTTAGCTAGAGGAGGTAATGGGAGGATCGCCCATAATTTCGTGGCCTAATCCTTCAATTAAATTCAGGGGAAGTTGAAACACCAGCAAGCGCCGGGACCTCAGGCCAATTTGCTAGTTTCAGCAGGCGCCTGATGTCATTCCTGGTGGAAGAGATCCGCCCAACCCCAGCACTTTTCCCACAAATCGTGGCGCTTCTTCCCTGTTGACTTGGCGGCGACCTGAACGATGAATGGTTGATTCATTACACCGTCAACGCCGCTACTGTCATGCCTTTATATACTCTGGCTCTCCAGATATCTTCGTCTTTTTCTTCGTTGCCCACTTTTGACTGCGTCCCTCTTTGCAATCAAGGCAAAAGGACAGTGTCACCCTGACCTCA